GGCGATTAGCTTTCGAGGACTCAATTGCTCTTCAAACAGGTAAACTGGTCAAATTGGCTGACATAATTTCCATCTACAGGCTGAAGGCACACCGTGATGTGAAATCCTATTCGCTACAATATTTTGACGCATAGTTTACTACCATGAAACAAGCGTTTAGACAACTCTCTCATTACGTGACTGTTTAAATTAATCCCTGGGATAAATCGGATGACCTACTTCGAGCTTGTTTTGAAGTGTTGAATTGGGGCACAACACGCGGAGCGTTCTCCAGTGGAAGCAGACGCTAAACCACATAATGTTTCAATAACAAAAGAATGAGAAACTCCCTCAAAAAAATTGTCGAACGCCCCCCTATCCTCCCTACTCGTATTGGAGCGCAAGCCGGCTGGCTTTACTTGATGCTCTGGCCGGTCTTTTGTCTCCAGCGCTAGGCTACCGGTGGTCCAGAACAGCAACAGTAGCAGCAGGTTGGCCCGCCCTCTTTTAACGCTGCTACGTCACATCAGCTTCATAGTAAGCGAATTCAAATACAATACAGCCCCATCTTCCCGCAACACTGACAAGGTCAGCGACCAAGGACCACATACCACATTTGGGGATAGACCGCGCCTATATTCACAGAAGGTAATATGCGTTTACTGAAAGTTATGCGTGATGGAATAATGCTTACGAAACTCCGGCCATTTCGTGTGTTTTACGATGATTTATTTTGTCCTACAATGATATGCTGTGCTTCGGCATTTAGAGAGCTGCTTGGTCATCCGGGCAACAATAGACGACATCACGTAGGCTACATGCTTTATAAAAAAAATAGGCTGGATTTGAATTACATTATGTTTCAGCTTGAAATTCACATATTGTGTGTAATCATGGAGTTAACCCAATGTGGCACCGACAGACATTATCTTCGTTACTTTTAGCCTACTCCCAATATTGTGCGAATGCTGCTTATAGACTACAGTACGTTAGCCTAGAGAATTATGAATTATTTTTAATGTAGGCCATGCTTAGTCTATGATATGCATATTTGGCTGGTTCCATCCGGTTTGTATCAGCAGCGCACGCACACAGAGTGTAT